GTCTCTCTGTGTTTCATAATTTTCCTTCAATTCGCAAGAGGCTGAATGTATCTCACCAGAGAAAGCATCCGAGCAAGCGAAACAGTGCCCCTCTGTCTCTGTACGTGTAACCCATCTTTCTGATGCTGTCTGGTCAAAAAGTGTATAATATTGTTGCCACCTGTAGCATTGAATGCAAGGGAAGCCAGTAAGCGTTTGGCCTCCCTTGATAAAAAAATAAATACAATAATAGCCAATCAATTGAGTGAGCTCAACTGTGAATGGTCCTGGCGCACCAAAAAAAAGTGTCAAGGGAAGCCAGTTTGGATTTCGCTTCACTCCAATGACATCACATCAAGCCAAACGTCAGTTGTTGCATCTCGTTGTGTTGTTGTCCTCCGGTGCCTAACACATAAAACCTCACCTAGTTCTGCCAAAAAACAATGAGGATGCCGCCCTTTGATAAGCAGTGCACCCTTTGTCAAAGGCAGGGGCGCAAAATATTTAGCTTGTCCATTCCCAGCGCGCCTCTCCAGGGTGCTGTTGGAGAGATGCATCTCTGTAGCATTCCACCAACGTTCTGTCAAAAAAGTATCTAACATAAATCATGTAGCAGATATAGGATATGATAGAAAGAGTATGTGGCCTTTTCTGTAACCTACAGGCTGGAGATAAAATGTATGACAATGTAATGAGATGGACACTTTTTACATCATGCAGGTTTCTCCGATCAAATAACCTAACCTAAAAGGTGCTCAATCAAATAAAAAAATAGCTGTCATGTTAACAAACAACATATACTAAAAACAGGACAGGTCAAAGTAAAATGGGCAATATGGAATGGACAATCACAACTTTTGTTTCACCCCATTGTCATGATCAGTGGTTTCAAGTTTGTATCCGTCAATTTGACAAGCTGATCATAGCGAAAAATAAAATACTTCTGCATTTCCCCCTGTGTAAACACATTGCAAATAGGTTCATGATAACTCCTGATAAAGTTGGGTAGCTGATATTCAGAGCTTAAATAGCCAAATTGATTAATTAGGAATCAGGACTCATAAAGCCAATACAATGGCCTGTTTTACAAACGGTGGGCCTACCACATGGATGGGCATTCATAAAATACCATTGTGGCCAACATGGTAGGGTACAGCCCAGTAAGCACGAGCCAACGTCTTATTTTGGTGATTTACAAACGGTAAGCTTACCACATACATGGGGATTCATACAATTCTATTTCAGACAACACTGTAGACTACACCTCAGTAAACACGGGCCGACGCCGATGCCTTTTGGACATCTTATTTTGGTGCAGTTCCGGACCGACCTTGATATCCACAGACATTGTTTTTGGTGCTGTCCAGACCGGCCTTGATACTTATTTTTCAACGTCCGTAAAATATGCCTTTTCAACGTCCTGAAAAATATGTATTTTAAACATACGGAAAATACCTTTCACCTTACATTCAGAACCTAAATTGAACCTAACTTCAACGTCTGGAAAATAAGTCTCTTAGACATATTTTCAGTGTCATTTTGCTTACTGGGACAATTCTAGTTTTGCAGGGGGACAACATTTCTTGGTCTCGCCTATGACTGCAAAATGGCAAGGACCGGCCAATGATTATAACAATGAGTCTGATCCAACCATAAATTCATACATTGTGCCTCTGGCCTGGGAGGATGGATGTTCAATATGTAGCTAGATGTAGTAGGCTAATGTTAACTAGCTGGCTAATCGTTTCCCATGAAAGGAAGTTAGGCTAGCGAGCAAGCATTTTAGCCAGGTAGCCTAGGACAACAAAAACTAAAAGCATGTATTGTATGACAGAGTCCTATACTGTTTCGGCAACATGAGAGAGAGGAGGATTGCATTGGCGTTTCTCTACAAGTAGGGTGAGTCAACATGTTGTTTCTACTTATGCACACACACACACAGAAATCAGTACCATTGACAGCCACTGCAAGAAATGTATAGGGGGACAACACATTTTTCTGGCCCGCTTGGTGGGGGGGCCACCCCAACCAAATCTCGCTTAGGGTCCCCAAAAGGCTAGAGCCGGCCCTGCTGAGAAATAATCGCAACCCTTTCAGAGAGAGTGAGAGAGGATCAAACAATGTGCTTTCTCTCTGGGTATGTAGCCAGGGCTTGAAATGAAGGGCGTTCTCCTGGGGATGATTAAAAAAATATGTCTGGGAAGGTTCAAACAGACTCGGGGACAGTTCTGGGACGGTAGATCCAAAATTCAACTACTGTAGGCTACATTAAAACAAATTAAAAAGCAATGAGGCTAATGTAACAGATCAGAACATTTAGCTTAAAATGTTGATAGTTATTTCTTCACATTATCAGCGCAACAATGCACACAGTGCAGTAGGCTACGCGCGCATGTTCCAAAAATGCAAAGCGCACGGCACATGCCAGCGGTTTCATGTGACAGAGAAGAAAATATCTGTTAGAAATTTAGAAAGAGGGGAGATCTAAAGATGCAACAACTAGCATGGGTTGCTAATATGACTAGGATTGTGTCTTTGCCTGCTGGACAATTAAAGAAAGTTGATTTAGAACAATAGAAAATGCCAGTTTCAATGGCATAAGTAAGTGCTTATAAAGTAATTCCCTCAACATATGGTCTGATTTTAGCTAGGCTACTTTGAAACAAGGTAAGGCATGCCTCATTACATGACTTACAACCTCCAAGTTTTAAACAATGCTAACATACAAAAAAACATCTTAAATTCATCGTTCCAAACAGTCGATTTCTGAGTGGATAGACTATTGTAAGTATCTGAAGCAACTAAATCTGAATCACCCGTCTGGTTAAATAGTTTCAAAATTATTTCTATACTCCAGTTGAAAATACGATTATTCTAGAGCAAAGTGATTTGTATGAACACTATTTCACAATGTTTAACATTGTGTTAACATCATTTCACAATGTTTTCTGGTCATTTGGCCATAACTGTAGCTAGACCTGGCAACTCTGATTGAATCTCAACAAAGAAACAGTTGGTGGTGGTATTTGATTAACGTTTATTGAAAAAGTATGGTTTTCAGCAAATAAAGAAAGGCACGCAAATACAGAGGATAAACATAGGTACAGGGTGGGCATTTCAGAATATATATATATTATTTTTTTTACCCCTTTTTCTCCCCAATTTCGTGATGTCCAATTGGTAGTTACAGTCTTGCCCCATCGCTGCAACTCCTGTACAGACTTGGGACGGGCGAAGGTCGAGAGCCATGTTTCCTCCGAAACACGACCCTGCGAAGCCGCACTGCTTCTTGACACACTGCTCGCTTAACCCGGAAGCCAGCCACACCAATGAGTCGGAGGAAACACCGTACAACTGGCGACACGAGTTAGCGTGCATGTGCCCGGCCCGCCACAAGGAGTCGCTAGAGCGCGATGGGACAAGGACATCCCGGCCGGCCAAACCCTCCCCTTACCCGGACAACGCTGGGCCAATTGTGCGCCGCCTCATGGGTCTCCCAGTCGCGGCCGGCTGCAACACAGCCTGGGATCGATCCTGGGTCTGTAGTGACGCCTCTAGCACTGCAATGCAGTGCCTTAGATCGCTGCTCCACTCATGAGGCCAAATATTTCTTTTTTTAAGTACTCATCTTGGACGAATTGATGTAGTCGGAGCTAGATTACACAAATCCTGTTCTTGGCTCCACTCCGTTGGTGAAGTTCAGAAAGTTTAGTCCACTACACTTTCTTGTGTTATTAACCTCCAGTAGCCTAGCACATTTTCCAAATTAGCTAACACTGAAAATTCTCTCTCACACACATTGAAGACAAGGAGCATTGAGCTGAGTAAGCTACCCCTTCCTCTGTCCCGTAGCCACGTAATGTAGATTATAACTCTTTCAAGGCATGCCTGTCACGTGACATTTTTGGGACGCACGCGGCCTCAGTGTGCTCATTGTCTAGGTAGCTACATGAACTGGCTAGTTAACTGACTGGAAAAGTTAGTTTTTAGCTAGGCTAGCACCACAGAGCACTTCCTAAATTAGCTTGCTAGCTAACAACGATTCCTGCTTGAACAGTGACTCCTACTGGTATATGAGGGGTAATGCACTTCAGTGAGAACAAGTTTACCATCCAGATGCATGTCTGTGTACGCTGCTTAGCTTTGGAAATAAGCTGTGTTGGTTTCAGCTGAGATATCATGTCAACACATTTAGACATTGATCAGCTTCCAAACTCATTTGCGTAGACTACCTAAATAACATTCAATAGTTGATGGCATGATGTTGAAACAATGACGTTGATTCAAACATACCATTTTACTATCAACATTGAAACAAGGTCAAATCAAATGTCTAATCAAATATGAAATTCAACATAATTTCAACAATCCAATATACAGTATATTGAATATAGGATGAAAAATGTTTTACGTTTCTACATGGAATTTAACACAATTCCATGTAGAAATTAGATTGATGTAACAACCTGTTAGTCAGATTGTCATTGTATTTCAATTGACATTTTACCCTAATTTCAATGTTTACAACGCTGCTTGAAATGAGATGAAAAACCACTGCCCAATGGGAAGTCTGTCTTCTGCACTATTATTTTCACAATCTATTTTAAATGTGTTGAATAGTTTTATTCTATCCAGTCCCTGTCCCAGCTGTGTTTTCAATACCCCCATACACTAGCCTACTCTGGCTTTGCCTCCCTCCATCCAGCTGAAAGTTTAACGCTGGCAACTGCTCATTATACAGGGGAATTATTCAATGTATAATTCAATGTATGGGAGTATCTGTAATACATAATACAGGAGTAGTCTAAACTAAATTGTGTGTATGGGTTTGTGTGTGGTGTCATTGGTCGTTTATGTGCGTCTGGGAGCATAGTGAGCTTTGTGGACCGCCTGGAATGTGTCAGCGGTTAGGCTCTAATGGGTTTGTCAGTGGCATTGTGCTGCTACATTACAAATGGCTGCCTTAATGAACCTTCCCAAACAGACAACTAGCTAGAGGTCTACACTTCAACATTGTCAAGATGAGGTTTCAAATGGTTTTCTTTACTTCATCCATCTGCTTTGGTGTCATTTCATCGTCTCCCTCCATGTCCAACCCTTCGCCTCCGCCCTCAGACTTGAAGAGGAGAAAGACAGGCTGTTTAAAAATGAGTAACTGTAGATGCATCATGAAGGATGGCTCAGGGGTGATAAACCTGGCAGCCATGGCGGATTCAGATGGATTCTTGGGACACCTAAAGCCTGTGCCATCGGAGAACGCACCACCAAATGCAGAAATCCTTCTCTCCTTCAGCCCCTGTCAGCCGTTCTCTGAGCCCGAGGACCTCGCAGGGACAGACTGCACGGATGTGGCTGCCTGTTTGACAGTCAGGTATGTACTTTTTTGTAAAAATCATAATAGTTTGACAAAAAATACACAAGTAGTGGCAGTCTTTTGTGTTGGTCAATATTACATTCTGTGAAGCATCGATATAGGCCTAAGTCTTTACAGAGGACCCCAAAGATTAATCAAATTATTCATTTACTGAGCAGGTTTTACAGAAATAACAGGTACATCAGTCACTACATAAACTATGGGAGACATGAGGGCAACGTATTCCATTACAACAACAGCTTGCAGACACTGTCTGTTTCATATTCTGGTAAGCAGAAGTGTAAATCAGAAGTGTCATTATTATTGTGGTCTGTGTGCTCAACACTGACATCAGCTTTCCCTTTCTCTAGTCCTAGAGTACACCCACCCCCTGACAGTAGTACACTACCATTGTAGCCCCAACAGATCCACTTCCTTCGCCCAACACTTTGATAGAGACATTCCCCTGCAGATCTGGGTGGAGAGTCCCTGTGCCTGTCCAAACGCCTGTGCCCTGGGGGACGTGGGTCCTGGCACCATCTTCCTCATCATCCTCTCCCTCAGCGCCACTGCCTACTTTATCCTGGGTAAATACACTGTATCCACATCTAGATACAGACAGGTGACAGCAGGTGTCTTACTATATTACTGTGTGCCCTCTTTTGAGCCCCTTCTAACCTCCCCTCGTCTCCTTCCCTCTCCTCTGTGCTCCTTTCTACAGGGTCCTGTGCTCTGCGGCCGTTCAGGACAGGCAGCGGAGTGCAGATCGCTCCAGAGGAAAGTCTGTGGTGCATGCTCTGTTACATGTTCACTGAACGCAGAGGGGATAGGAGGAGGAGAAGATACATCTCCCTGCGAGAGGAAACCCTATGAAGCGTGGAAGATAGTATAAATGATGAATGAGAAAGTGGAAGATGACACAAAGCTACTGTATATGAAATGACACTGAAGGAAACTTGAGCTTGAGATAGATTATATTTCCAGTGATGTGACTGATATTCATGGAGGAGGCATGATTTTCTATCTGTTATTGAGTGGGTTAATAGCAGTGGGATAGCATTGAACAGCATAACTAACAACTAGACTAACATTTGAAACAAAGTTATTGCCCCATTTAGTTTAATAAAGATTGAAAACAGAAAAATAAGCACTAATTAATTTTTATTGTTAATAAAACATTTAGGGAGGATCACAAAAATAGACCAAGATTACTGATATTTTTAGTCTAGTATACATGTGCATTTGTTAAAATGATAATCTAAGATTAATTAATTTTTGTAAAAATAATATTATGAAAAAGATTAGACAAAATGTTAATTTATGTGTAAGACACTGGGGTTGTGTGTATAGCTTAAACCCCTCTTCAAACACAGGAAAGTGTTTGTTTTTTAAAAAGTTCAATCTAAAGTGCTGTCGCAATGAACGTGACACATCACCTGAGACCATCCAATGTAAACCCAGCTGTGGTCAATATAAGCCCATGTGTTAACTGATATTTTGTAGATAATGCACAGCAATATATACAGAATCTCATTTAAGGCATTCATAGGCAGACAACTGATAGATAATAGTTATCAGGACATTGCAAAATGTTAACTCTGAACAAGTGTATCGAACCTCCAAGCATTCAGTCCATAACAACAGCTCTATTAGTCAAATAGGATAGAAAAAGTCAATCACAGTTTACATTCAGATATGCAGGAAAACAATTTGTTCTGCATTTTTCAACATTATTGAGAATGTAAATATATAAAACATAATAATAATAATAATATATAATATGCCATTTAGCAGACGCTTTTATCCAAAACGACTTACAGTCATGCGTGCATACATTTTTTTTTGTGTATGGGTGGTCCCGGGGATCGAACCCACTACCTTGGCGTTACAAGCGCCGTGCTCTACCAGCTGAGCTATAGAGGACCACATAAAACAGGGAACCTTGCAAACCTCTGTAATGCTCGATAAATTCCATAAAAAATCTAACAAACCAGCAAGCTGGTTGGAAAAACACAAACAAATGATGGATGATCCTTCATAAGATAATGTTTGAAGACATTTGCCAGTGTAAAAGACTGCTGAATATGTATTGCCAAGTCTGACCCCTAGCTTCTTACCCCTTTGGTGTTTGCAGATCTGAGAGAATCAGACAGCACCAAATAGCCATCTAATGGGTTTAGAACTTATAGCATATAAAACTTCCCCCATATTACTACACCTACTCAGTTCCTTGAGATCTGTAAACACTAACTAGACAGGCTAGAAGCTATCAGTTTTTTTGGGACATTGTTGAAAATCAGACTGATCCCTCAGCAAGCCATTTCTTCACAAGGGGGCGCCAGAGTACTACAATCTAAATGGGACTTAAACCACAATCAGACTGCTGAGGACTTTCCCTCTTCTCCATCACCAGCTCTCCTCCAATAGTGACTAGTACTGTCATCACAGAGATTATCTGGTGCTTTGGGTCATGTATGAGAAAAATCCATTCTAAAGTAGCGTATACAATGTGTATTGGGTATTTTCTTTACAGTATTACATTTGTCGGATCGTTATTTCCCAATATTTGTGGAAAGGCTGAGGATAGAGTTAGATGCATGATGTCACTTCCTGATCAACAGGACAAGACATTTACCATGGAAACAAAGAGACTGTAACAACATACAGATGAACTGAGATCAGACTTAAGCCACATCTTCTGGGAGTACAACAACACATTAGAAATAAAGTGCAAAATTACCAGACAAAAACAGAACAGTTTACAATCAATCAAACCCCATAGGGTAAACAGACCCACAACTAAACATGAGAACTGTGCGGTACGGTCATCCTCTCATGGCAACCAGCTGAGCTGGTGCTCCAGGATGACTACCATATGTTTCTACAGTTAGTCCACAAGCTTCACCACAGAGGCCTCAACTCAAACTCACATCTTCACCAGTCCTAATGGCTCTCAATCACAACAGGCTCATAGACACCGGCGGACACCCTGAAAGAATAAAAAGTGGCAGAGTAAGAGGTGTGTGTGTCTGTGTGTCTGTGTGTGTCTGTGTGTGTGTGTGTTCTCACCTGTTTCCAAGCCGTAGCCCATTCAGGGAAGTGGTCCCGTCTCTACTGACAAACAGTCGCAGGTTACTGTCTGAAGAGGAAACAAACACACCAAGAGAGAGCCAAATGAAACACAGTACAATAGAGGAAGTTATGTACAAAAGAGACAGCAAAGATGTGCTGGACAAGTGAAAGGGCAGGGTGTTTGAGGTTTCATACCTTCAGTGTTACTTATGTCACCAAAGTTCTGGCTCTGGACGATCTTTTCAACTATATCGTCAGCATCGATGCGGGTGTCATTCACCCAGGAGGGATGGCTCTCCACAGAATCCTGCTTCCTCCTGTCACAGGGTGGAGGGAAAAGGCCCAGTCATTCAACAGCAAGTGACAAACAGCAGTCATACAAAGAACAATAACAGTAGTGTTTCACTGATGGATTGGAGTGTTTCATAGATTGTGAAAACAGACACATTGGGCTAAACATATCTGGTGGGTGGGAGGTCTTGCCTGGGGGGTCTGTTGGATGGCAGGATGGGCCATGGGGGGCGAGGGGGTCTCTCTGGCCGGCAGATGTCCCTCTCCCCCTCTGGGGGGGTGTCTACGGTCACACTCAGGCCCCCAGAGGTGCTGCTTCCTGTGGAGGTGTTCCTCCGGTGAGTGAGGTCAGACAGACTGGAGGAATAGGAGTGCTCTGTGCTATATCCTGGGGAACAAGAGTTTACATTACTGACACTGGTGCAAATACAGTAACAAAGAAATATGACCTCTGGAGAGGGAAGATGGGGAACAGGAATACACACACACCTGAGATCCTGCTCAGCTGGCTGGCGTAGCTGGAGTTGCGAGAGTGGCCCGACTGGAACACTTCTCCTGGGCTGGCCACCTGTGTCTGGTCTGGCTCCTCTGGAAGTCCTGACATCAACCAGAACCACACATCATTTAGTTAGTCCCTCACCATGTGTCCCAGACCTGGGTTAACTGTTTAGTGTTGATGAGATAATCATAAAACAACCACACTTATCAGGTTTAATCGGATCCTTCTGCCATGTCATACCTGAGCTGATGATAGAGGGTCTGGGCTTAATGGAACGGCCCAGAGAAGGGGGCCGGTTAGGGGTTCCAGTGCCCTCCCCCTTACAGTCTAGCTGCAGGGTATGGTCCTGGCCTGAGATCGAGATGGACTTGGCTGTGCTGGGGGCGCTGCAAAAAACATGACTGGTCAGACCACATGTTATACTGTGGGGAAAAGGGGCGACAGAATCACATTTACTAAATGTATGATGATGAATGACAGATCAGAGATTTGAACATATATCACGTCACTCACGTTTTAAAGCACGGATCTCCAGAGAGGAGGGTCATCCCGATAGTCACCTTCAGAGAAGATCCAGACAAAGACAACTTTTATTACAATGTAAAAAGTAAAAGACAGCGAGTCATGTTTGCAGTAGCTATATAAAAAGTTCCGCTGAGGTGCAGGGCATCAACAGCTCTGGGTGATCAGTGGTCATGTGCCAGGATATTTGCATGCAATTCTGGTATTTCATGTCACAACAGTACATCATATCAGTTAGCAAACAATGTTATTATAAAAAAAATTTAAATAGCTTGATCTAATAAAGCATACGTGGTTGCTTTCCGACTGTATTGTTGTTTTGGTCAATTTTCATTGAGTAAGACAGCTCCAAAATGCAGCAGTTTCAGCGTCGCTCTGTGCTTTGTGTGGTGGTGGGGCAGACAGAGAAAGTACAGAGCGTAGGTGTCGTTGGCACAGGGTGCTGTCACTCATGGGGACACTACATCACTGCAGCACCTGCTGGGAGAGCTAGCCAGCAAAAGCCCCTCTTCGGTGCCCAGGGGCCAGAGTTCTGGTCTAGAAGCACAGTTTCGACTGCTCCTACAGTTTTGCTTCAGTACTGCAGTTTAAGTGATGCCCGGAAAAAGACAATTTCCATAGACGGAAGTCAGATTTGAAAATTCTTAATAAGACACTATAGTCATCACCTTTGTGCACAAAACATCCATTGAATTATTCAAATAATTGTAGCTGAAGGCCGTTTAAAAAAAAAAATGTTTTACTCACCGAAGATATTACAATTTAATATTCATCCAATGTCTACCATGTTTTTGGATAATGTGATACCATCGTCCCTGCTCGTGCTGCTCCCTGTGCGCACTGAGTGCTAGTGCGCATGTGATGTTGGTCCATATAAACCGGATGCAACCCGGATATAGATGGTCCATGAATCGGCGTATGCGAACATGTGTAGATTACCTTGAAAATAATGAGCGGACATCTTGGTCGCAGTCTCCAGTTCTTATTATACCTCAGTGGTCAGTGCTCCATTGATTTACAGTAGAAGTGCCCGCCCAAGAAGGCTCTTTGTCATTGGCCACAGATAAATCAACGTGTTATGCCCGGCAACTTTGATTGGACTGATGCAAGGGAATAGCGTAATAAACGTTGCATATTGTTAACCAGGCCCCTTTATATTAGACAGGCAGATGCACACAGTGTCGCAATATTGCAGACCGATTACTAGCTAGTTTACTCTATGAAAGTATGCTCGACTACCGTGGTCTTCCGTGCAATAAGAGCTAAAGACATGGGAAGTAGCCATAACCCGAATGTTATAACGTTTGTGTGTGTGGCTCAAAACTAATTTCTGGGATTGGTTATTAGTGCATTCAATGAGTAGCCAGTGGAGAGTACTTGTTTCAATGCATATGAGCTTTGTTGATTGAGTTTGCCCCACCACCATTTTCATGTTAAAACCGCCACTGTGGGTGATCAGAGGGATGATTTCATTTACCACTCAATATAAAGTCATTCAGTATAAAATATTACTGAACAAAAATATAAATGCAACATGTAAAGTGTTGGTCCCATGTTTCATGAGCTGAAATAAAAATCCCAGAAATGTTCCATACGCACAAAAAGCTTATTTCTCTCAAATGTTGTGCACACATTTGTTTACATCCCTGTTAATGAGAATTTCTCCTTTGCCAAGATAATACATCCATCTGATAGGTGTGGCATATCAAGAAGCTGATTAAACAGCATGATCATTACACAGGTGCACCTTGTGCTGTGGACAATAAAATGCCACTAAAATGTGCAGTTGTGTCACACAACAGATGTCTCAAGTTTTGAGGGAGCATGGAATTGACATGCTGACTGCAGGAATGTCCACCAGAGCTGTTGCCAGATAATTTAATGTTCATTTCTCTACCATATGCCGCCTCCAACGTCGTTTTAGAGAATTTTGCAGTATGTCCAACTGGCCTCACAACCGCAGACCATGTGTAGCCACGCCAGCCCAGGACCCCCACATCCGGCTTTTTCACCTATGGGATCATCTGAGACCAGCCACCCGGACAGCTGATAAAACTGAGGAGTATTTCTGTCTGTAATAAAGCCCTTTTGTGGGGAAAACTCATTCTGATTGGCTGGGCCTGGCTCGCCAGTGGGTGGGCCTGGCTCCCAAGTGGGTGGGCCTATGCCCTCTCAGGCCCACACATGGCAATCGTTGGAATTGTTGCATGTTGCGTTTATATTTTTGTTCAGTATATATTCGTTTTTCTGTTCAACCAAACCAAACCCAACCCTGAAAAAGTCCCAAGGTCAACAGTCCTGACTCCTGCCCACCCTAGCTCAGTCACTTACCTTCAGTATGGAGTTGTCCTGTCTGGTATTCTTGGTGTCGTATCCCTCCAGCAGACAACAGCGGACCGCAGAACCCGAGCCAGCAAACTCCGCCATGTTTAGGTCGGTAAAACCCAGCTGAGGGAGAGCAACAGTTACATTAAAGGTAGACTCAGCGATATGACGTAGATAAAGAAAGTAAACAGCATTGTGGGTCAAACTAAGAGTGTTGAAGCGTGAGGCTCAGTTTAGTTGCCCTGGCTACTGCGCTGTGAACAGCATGAAGCGAACCCTTGCACGTGCGCCGATACTGTGTGAGAGCAAGGTCTTGCATCTCGCTCATCTCAATATCTGCGGTTCTGCTCATGGCCACATCATTTCACTGAGTTTACCTTTAAGAACAGTAGTTTTAAACCGGCATACACTGTGACATACATGTAGCCATCAAATTTCACATTTAGGTTGTATAGCCCTAAGGGACTGGATGTAGAGACAGACCGTGTATGCTCCAGGCATTTAGCCCACCTGTTTTTAATATTAATCTCAGGTTATCCAAGAGGAGATGAGTCTCATTTCCCTTTCTCCAGGTTTCATTTCCTCAAAGCTACTGTTTACAGATGTGTGTATTTAAGGAAGCCTACTTCCAAGGAGGAAAGGGGTTATATTTAGCTTAAGGAAATCCAGAAGCGTAACGTGAGAAAACACAGGAAGGGTCTCTGGCAACCTGAGTATGCATTCTCTGTAAACGTTCCCCATCTAACATGGTATAGTTTACATATGCTTATAGAGGAGTGCCAAAGCTGTTGCTTGTGTTTGTAGAAGTGGGGTGACTAATGTTCATGTTTAAATGGAGTAACAGGAGTGTTTAGCTCCTGAGTGGCGCAGTGGTCTAAGGCACTGCATCGCAGTGCTAACTGTGCTACTAGAGATCCTGGTTCGAATCCAGGCTCTGTCGCAGCCGGCCGCGACCGGGAGACTCATGGGCGGTGCACAATTGGCCCAGCGTCGTCCAGGGTAGGGGAGGGAATGGCCGGCAGGGATGTAGCTCAGTTGATAGAGCATGGCGTTTGCAACGCCAGGGTTGTGGGTTCGTTTCCCATGGGGGGCCAGTATAAAAAAAATAAAAAATAAAATGTATTCACTAACTGTAAGTTGCTCTGGATAAGAGCGTCTGCTAAATGACTAAAATGTAATGTAATGTAATGTTTATGTGTGTTGACATCAGGCTACTGTAAATTGTTTCTATGTATTTATGGATACATGGTGGGGTGCTCAGGAGGAGTGGGCTCTTACCTTTGAATATGTTTTTCCTCCTTTGAGTTCCTGTAGAGAAAACAGGAAGAGGGAGATGACTACTGAGGACTTTGGCAGTCTGGCATGCAGTGGAGTGTGTGTTTAGCACTGATCTACCATCAGATTACAGAGGCTACAGAGAGTTAACAGGGGTGTGAATAGTACATGGAAAGATACATAATCCAGTGGTACATGCAGGAAACTGTAGCCCCGGATATTCACAGACACAGAAATAACAGCATAGAGCTGTGTGTTGGTAAGAGAGAGGTCTCCAATCAGTCAACACAGACTTACCTTCCGCACAGAGACCCGACAGATAGAGGGATCCAGCACTCCAGTCGTGGGGTTGGCACTCATTTTACACACAAAGGTGAACCTCTTCTTCCATCGAACACAGTTTTCCTGAACCTCCACTCTGTGCGACAAGAGGACAGGAATTAACAAGGGCATAGCACTACAGCACAGATGCATCAATCTCAATAAAAAGGAATTGGTTATCTTAACACATCTGTTATTAGTGTCAAGAGAAATCTAAAGGTGGAGAGTGAATGACAGTCATTACTGTTTGAGTGGTCTCAAAAAAAGAAGTCACTAATTCAACGTAGCATATGACATCACTTGTGCATTAATTTGGCCTCTCTTCAATGTCTCACTCCAGTTTTAGAAAAAGTAAACTTGTTGTCGAGGAAACGGTGAACAATAGCCTGCAGGCTTCTGTAAAAATATACGTTTATGTTGTAAATAGGCCAGTGCCTGACGTCACCCTGTCATCCATACATTGAGGAAAATGGCTAAGAATACAAAGTGGTTGGCATAAAACATTCCTGGTGATAATCTATCTACTTCCCATTTTAAGATGCTTTAAACCCTCCTCCTCCCAACTGGACGACTGGACTGAGTGCAAGCATTGACAGTAGATGAGTCATGCCCCGGGCATGGACCCAGTATCCAGCCACTCAGAATGCACAGAAGAAACTCTAGTGAATTCAGTGCTTAATGTTGACTCTGGAAAGAATAAATAACTTACAGAGCAAGAGGAGCTAATGTAAATTTACAGGGCTAGATATGCATGACTCATCATCTCCAATGCAAACACACAGCCATGGTGGACAGATCGTCCTGGTTACTGTAGTGTTTACCTATTGCCTTCTGGGAGTGCTCAAACAATCAGGTGTTACCAGACTGCAGTCAACTACACCACAGAGGATACCCAGTGAAACATAACTATCCTTTAATTAGGCAAAACCCAAACACCCTGTATAAGTGAGAAGGCAGTAAATGCAGCAGGCTTCCTGAGTACAGTGCCTTCAGAAAGTATTCACACCCCTTTTCTTTTCCAGATTTTGTTGTTAAAATAGTTAAATTGAGATTTTGTGTCACTGATCTACACGCAATACCCCACAACGTCAAAGTGGAATTGTTTGTCGAACATTTTTGAAATTCATAAAAAATGCAAAATCGGAAATGTCTCGAGTCAATAAGTACTCAACCCCTTTGTTATGGCATGCCTAAATAAGTTCAGGAGTAAAAATGTGCTTAACAAATCACATAAGTTGCATGGCCTCATTCCGTGTTCAATAATAGTGGTTAACATGATTTTTGAATGACTACCCCATCTCTGTACCCCACACAATTATCTGTAAGGTCCCTCAATCGAGCAGTGAATTTCAAGCACAGATTCAACCACAAAGACCAGGGAGGTTTTTCAATGCCTCGCAAAGAAATCAAATAAAATTGTATTTGTCACATGCGCTGAATACAACAGGTGTAGACCGTACCGTGAAATGCTTACTTACAAGCCCTTAACCAACAATGCAGTTAAGAAAAATAAGAGTTAAGAAAATATTTACTAAATAAACTAAAGTAAAAAATAAAAGAGCAACAATAAAATATGAATAACGAGGCTATATACAGGAGGTACCGGTTCCGTGTAAAATGTGCGGGGGTACAGGTTAGTCGAGGTAATTGAGGTAATATGTACATGTAGGTAGGGGTGAAGTGACTATGCATAGATAATAGATAATAAACAGCGAGTAGCCGCAGTGTAAAAAAAGAAGGGCACTGATTGGTAGATGTGTAAAAATAAAAAAGCAAACGCTGAATATTCCTTTGAGCATGGTGAAGTTATTCATTAGGCTTTGGATGGTGTATCAATACACCCAGGCGTCCTTCCTAAATTAGTTGCCGGAAAGGAAGGAAACTGCTCAGGGATTTCACCATGAAGCCAATGCTGATTTTAAAACAGTTAAATAATAATATAATAATATGCCATTTAGCAGACGCTTTTATCCAAAGCGACTTACAGTCATGCGTGCATACATTTTTTTTTTTTGTGTATGGGTGGTCCCGGGGATCGAACCCACTACCTTGGCGTTACAAGCGCCGTGCTCTACCAGCTGAGCTACAGAGGACCACAGTTACAGTTTAATGGTTGTGATATGAGAAAACTGAGGATGGATCAACAACATTGTAGTTACTCCACAATACTAACCTAAATGACAGAGTGAAAAGAAGGAAGCCTGTACAGAATAAAACATATTCCAAAACATGTGTCCTGTTTGCAATATGGCACTTAAGTAATACTGCAAAAAATGTCACAAAGAAATTAACTTTTTGTCCTGAATACAAAGTGTTGTGTTTGGGGCAAATCCAACACAAAACATCACCGAGTACCACTCTTCATATTTTCAAGCATGGTGGTGGTTGCATCATGTTATGGGTATGCTTTTCATCGGCAAGGACTACAGGGTTTTTTAGGATAAAAATACAGCTATAAGCACAGGCAAAATCCTAGAGGAAAACCTGGTTCAGTTGGTTTTCAACAGACACTGGGAGAAGAATTCACCTTTCAGCAGAACAATAACCTAAAACACAAGGCCAAATCTACACTGGAATTGTTTACCAAGATGACATTGAATGTTCCTGAGTGGCCTAGTTACAGTTTTGACTTAATTCGGCTTGAAATTATATGGCAAGGCTGTCTAGCAATGATCAACAATCAACGACAGATCTTGAAGATTATTTTAAAGAATAATGGGCAAATATTGTACAATCCAGGTGTGCAAAGCTCTTAAAGACTTACCCCCAAAAGACTCACAGCTGTAATCGCCACCAAAGGTGCTTCTACAAAGTATTGACTCAGGGGTATTTCTCTATTTCATTTTCAATAAAAGTTGCTAAAATTTCTAAAAACATGTTTTCACTTATGGGGTATTGCATGTAGATGGCTGAGAAAAAATAAGATATTTAATACATTTTGAATTGAGACTAACAACAGAATGTGGAATAAGTCAGGGGGTATGAATACTTTCTGAAGGCACTGTACCTAAGACTGACCATCACTGTGTTAAAATAAGCACAAGGGAATACTACAGTCCTTTTGTCAAGCAACATAAAATAAACTCACTGCCATGCAGGTGGGGTGTTGTGCAAAGAGGCAGAATTTGCCCTGTGAACAGCGGTCAGTTAGCACATGGTCCCTAACCAGCTGACACATTTATTTGATTGACTATAGAGCTGCAGAGGGGCTTCAGTATAGTGGTGGGTAGTCGTCGGCTCCTTGCAGGGCACAGGGCCAGGGCACGTGTTCCTACTCCATGCCATGCAAGGGAGTGGCGTCATAGGATCATCTGCCCAAAGAAATGTTCCAGGGGAGCCACATGTGATCCCTACATCAGGGACAGCATGTCCCCAAATGCACACATGGCTTTTACTATGCAGACCCTGAGTATCAATGCCACGCTGTAGGCATACTATCTGAAGTCACATGACTGATAGTGACACTTTATACAGTGCTTGACTAGTACATGGCTGTCCCCTCTGCATTGACACATGGCTAAAATGCAAGAGATGTGATTCAGCCTTCCACATAATGAATATCTAGGACTGTTTAAGTTGATACAATTATTCCCTTCTCTAGTATGAGCTTCGGTTCCACAAAAACTGAACCCTACCACAGCAAGCATTTTAGATTTACACTTGGAAGCATCATCGTGCGGTGAAACATCGGAAGCCATTAATTTTCAATGGAAGGAAAGCGAGAGAAGCGGAGAGGGCGGGGGGGACCGTTGGTCGAGGGAGTTTAACAGGGCAGGACTAAGGTTGGAGAAAGCTGAACTTTATTCAAATCATCTGCGATATTGCAATGTGACTGACCAATCAAAGCTCCTACTGGATTGGCTGACGATGGCAAGGATAGCGTGGCTAGGCGAGTACGGCTTGTTTAGTGTTAACGGCCGGTTATGGATCAGTGCAAAATGGTGGCAGCTGCTGCTAACACTCCCCTTCACCCATTATATTTTTGCAACTCTCACCAACACTGCACGTCCAGTAACACTTTTTCCTCCCTTCCCAGTCTCCCTTTTCTTTTTATGCATCTCTTACTTTAGGTCAGGAATGACTGAAAACCAGCTATGGTGTGTTAAGCAAATTTGGCCAAATAAAATGGTTGTTTACTTGAGAAACTGTTAAGAAACAAGTCATAACTCCACTACTGCTATATATTACAAAAACAGATTCCAGCTATTTGATTGGCTACAAACCTTTAGTAATAGTAGGCCTACACAAACTCCAACAAATTGCATGACTATAATCCTTCGGTCATACTTAAATGTAGCCTAAAATACAAGAGTTCCCCATTTCCTCTCTCAATGATTAATCTTGTACATTCTATAAATGCTTTAAAACACTTTTTATGCAAGTATTCTTGTTCACTACCATTTTAGATTTTTCTTCTCTAATAGGTTATTTATATTGTCGTCCCTTTATGTTTTGCCTTGGTTCTTTATGCCGTGCCACACACACTTGTTTAGCTCTTATCAGGAGCGCCACACTAATCACTGCCCCCCCTTCAGTCTGTCTCTGAAAACGTTCTCAGCCACATTCCACATACCAGATGGCTTTATTCAACCACCATGGCAACCACACGCCTCAAATCCCCGACTACAGCATTCATTCAAAACGAGAGTGAAAGAGTTAGAGCACTGAGGAGAGAGACAGAGCGGGGGGTTCAGGGGAGGCTGGAGACAACACTTAACAACCAAACTCATTGTAACAGAGGTATCTGAGACATTCTCGTAGTCAGTTCACAGATACACAAGGCCACAATGTCACAGGGAGTAATCAACATGGATCTCACCAAATAAACGCAACGATACTGAGAAAACAAGAGGAGCTACACAATATCTGAACAATGTTGAAAGACAATCCTCACTGAAGACAGCCCAGTTCTCAACACCAGCATGACCTGTTACATCCATATCCAGAGCGAGTTAATGAAAGTGATCACAAAACTACACAAACACATCAGATAGCAAAACTCAAAAGGAAAATTCAGGAGTTGTGGCAATAAAACCACACAGGAAAAGGAAAAAGGGTGAGAACTATGACTATTGACTGAAACGGATTGAAAGTTTACACAACGCGGCAGATGTTGTTGTCAAAAAAGGAAA